GGTTCCGGTAGAACAAAGACCTGGTCTGTCATGTTTCTTTTTTGTTTTCTTTTTTCCTTTAATTGTACAAGTACAGTTTTCTGTCTTTTACTCCCATCCCAGCCAACCCCCGTCCTGTTTCTTTGTTATATCCTTATCACCCAGTTTAGTATCGAGCACACAGTAGCTGCCCAATAAATGTTTACTGTATAAATAATAGGATTCCTCCCTAATCATCCTGCACACCCCCAACTGAAGGAGCCACTGCTGGCCCTTTGGTGACCTAAGAAAGAGAGATATTCATGAATCTAGTTTTGGTTCAATTTTGCCAATCTTTGGTTCACAGAAGTGAGTGGCATTTTAAAGGTCTGGCCCCAGGAGATCCTGGGGACCTCAGCCCCAGGAGCAGGGCCCTCTGCTGCAGGAGAATGGGGTGAGCTGTGAAAGACACCAAGGCGGTTAGCTTCAGCACGGGAACAGGCTCTGGGTTGCACTGGGTCTACAACCCCTCCTTCTTCTCCTGGTCTTCCTCCTAGTTTGTGTCCAGGGTCCCAGCAAATGGGGCCAGTCTTCTCTGGTCTTCAGCAAAGACTATATTTTGGAGTGGGATGTGACCTTAAAGACCTTCTAGAACAGACCATTCCTTTTGGAGGCCCAGACTGAAGCCACACCATACTCTGAGTGAGGGCACGGGGAACAAGATATCGCTCTAGGCAAAGAACATCCTGTTCTCCCATGCCTCAGGCAGGACATAAGCAGCCTAGCTACTATTGTGTATTAGGATCCCATACTTAGTTCCGAATAGTGTCCCTGAAGCCAGAGGACCTCTCTGACAGGGTGGGTGAAGAGGAGCCTCAAATGGAGGATGAGGGCCTGGGGATTTGATTAGGAAGACTGAGAGGAACCAGGGAAGAGCATGATGAAGAGCATGATGAGCAAGCTTCAGGAATCTACTTTAAGGCTGGATTCCATCTTGGGAATTTAGGCAGGTTGCTTCTCCTGGACTGATTCCCAAGCATAATGAGCCTAAGTTTTCAGATGAGAAAATTGAGGCCCTCTAGAAAGGGCCAGGGAGTCATGTTGTGAGGCCCAGCAGATTGAGGCAAGGGTACCGAGGCCATCTGTCTCTCACACTGGCTGGCATCCTCTCGCCAGGATGACCTCTTCCTGGCCCACTCCAGGCCTTTGTCCCTGTTGCTCTCTCCTCCCTTTCACTTCGCCACGTGCTCATTGGGACTGGTTCCAGATATTGCACATAGTTGTCTCTTCCCTATGCACGGGATGCCTCGACTCAGGACCCTGCATTCTCAGCTCTGGTCCCGAGGCAAGATGTTCCCATTTCTGGGCCACAGTCTCCTCTACCCACTTCTGACAGTGCAGTCCCAGGTCAGAACAAGAGGCATCCAAACCTCCATGCTCTTCCCAAAACATTTATCAGAATCATGGTGTATGTCCAAGATCTGGTATTCCAACTATTTCGGAGAGGAGGCCCAGAGAGAAAGGAGCTTTGACAAATGATCCACAGCAACCTTGTAGTCATTCTCACTTCTCTCAACCCTTCTTTTTACTTATCTAAAGCCTATCAGCTTCTGCTGCTCCTGTTCCTGCTTGTGCGCTCATCTCGAGGCAGCTGAGGAGACTTTGGCACTCACCAAGGCGGAGGAAAAGCCCAAGCGAATCACGACTGGGAATAACTATCATATTAATTTGAAGGTGGTGGGGTAGGATGGTTCTGTGGTGCAGTTTAAGATTGAGGCATAAACCACATAGGAAACTAATGAAAGCCTATTGTGAACTACAATTTGACAGGTAGCCAATGAACGAAACAGACACACCTGCACAATTGGAAATGGAGGATGAAAATACAATTGATGCATTCCGGCAGCAGCAGACAGGAGGTAGGGTTTGGTTCTCTTAACCAAAAAGAGAACCTGCTACTTTACTCCAGAACTTTGCTCCTCCAGACCAAAAAGACATTCTCTATTAGAAAATCACAATTTTGTTTCACCACATCCTGACTACTACAGCATACTTTTCTTTATTCTTTGGTTTTCCCCTTCCCCATTCCTTTATTGTACATAAAATAACTGATGTATATGTGCAAGCATTTGCATTTTAACTACAACAAATGGCCAATGGTATATTGTTTATTTTTCACATTTTAATCAGTTTATTTTTTTTAAATTTTTTTATTTATTTATCTTTAGAGGGAAGGGAAGGAGAGAGGGAGAGAAACATCAATGTATGGTTGCCTTTTGTGCGTCCCCTGCTGGGAACTGGCCTGCAGGGAACCTGCATGCAACCCCGGTATGTGCCCTGACTGGGATTCGAACCGCGATTGTCTGGTTCGCAGGCCCGCGCTCAATCCACTGAGCTACACCAGCCAGGGCCTAATCAGTTTATTTATTCACACAAAAGTTTAATTTCCTTTGAAAGCTAGAAAATAACCAATTGTATGTTTTGATCAATATCAAATAGAGATGAGATGGGGATAAATACTAGTTTGGTGGAAATATCCCCGTCCTCCATTAGTGGAATGCTCATTCAGCCCTTATGTTTATATCCAGGAAGTTATTTTGCTCTCACTGTTTAACAAAAAAAAAAAAAAAAGAACAATATAAGTCCCTGCTGGTGTGGCTCAGTGGATTGAGCACCAGCCTGTGAACCAAAGGGTCATGGGTTCAATCCCCAGTCAGGGCACATGCCTGGGTTGAGGGCCAGGTCCCCAGTTGGGGGTGCATGAGAGGCAACCACACATTGATGTTTCTCTCCCTCTTTTTCTCCCTCCCTTCTCCTCTGTCTAAAAATAAGTAAGTAAAATCTTTAAAGAAAAAAGAAAAACATAAAATTCTTGCATGCTTTGTTCAACTGGAGAGTTTTAATGTTTTTTTAATGTATCATTGTCAAACCAAAGACAAATTTATAATATTTTGTACATAACTGTCACATGTAGGGCAATCTGTCTTTAAGTAGGGGCAAATTACTCTAAAAGAAATGAGTCCTAGACAGTTTTCCCTTTATGTCCAGTGTCTTGTTGTTTAAATAAACATCTTGCTTAAGATGAAAAAATAAAGCCTGTCAATTCCAGCATCTTAAAATCCCTCATAGAACAGACACATTTCTAGTGTGGAAGAATTCTAATTCATTTATATAAATACTTTGCCCTTGAGGAGATGAAGAGCATAACTCTCCACTTCCTAAGCATGAGCTACACTTAGTGGACAGGTGGCAAACACAAGGCCTGTGGGCTGAGTCCAGCCCTCCACCTTGTTTTATCCAGCCCGGCACCTTGTTTCTACCCGGCAACAGTGCCAAGCTCTTGCTTAACTGTTAAGGACTAGTTACCTTTATACAGTTCTAAAATTATGTTTGGCCCTTTGACGGCAACCACAAGGCTGATGTGGCCCCCCGTGAAAATGAATTAGACACCCCTGACTTAGTGGCTTCCTTCCAAAGTTTGATAGGAGGCAGAGGAGTAATTTTACAGTGGAGAAACCTGACATACATGCCCTCAGCCAGGAGAGCAAGGTTAACATTAATAGTAATAAGGTATGTTGATAGCTATGCCTTAGCTATGGAAATGCAATGGGAAATAGCACTGTATTTCTGTGGTCTTCCTCCCTCAACCCATAACCCCACTCCAAACATGAGGAAAACATCACACAAATCCCAATTGAGGAAAATTCTACAAAACACCTGACCAGTACTCTCCAAATGTTGATGACTTCAGGTCATCATAAACAAAGAAAGTCTGACATACTGTCACAGTCAAGAGGAGCCTAGAGAGACATGATGACTAAATGTAATGTGGTATCCTCGATGGCACCCTGGAATAGACAAAGGAAATTAAGTGAAAACTAATAAAGTATGACTAGAGTATAGACTTTAGTTAACTGTACAGTATTAACACTAATTGTGACAGATGGACCATAGTAATGAAAGATGTTAACACTAGGGGAAACTGTCTGTAAAGTATATGGGGACTCTATTATCTTTGAAATAATTCTATATATTAAAAACTTCTAAAAGTAAGGAAAAAATTAAAAAGCTTCCTATATCCACCCCCATCAAGCCACTCTCAACCTGAGGAGGAGCTTTGCTCACACTCTTCCTTCAATCCTTTCTTCTGGCAGCCAGCAGAGGGCATTCTCTAAAACACAAATCTGAATCCTTACAGCAAAGTAAGGGCGTTGGATGCAGAGTTCTGGAGGTATGTTGCAGAAGACCAACCCAGATGGCCACATAAGTTGTTATTACGATCCAGAAAGAATCTGGGAGGTGTTTTTGGTGTTCCTTGAAATAGTTACTGTATCCAAAATTTAAAACATCTCAGCCTTTCCCAGGTCTTCCAGATAACGCCTGCCTTTCAGACTCCTAACTCCCGTTCCCCACCCCCCTCACACAGCTACATAGTGATTTCCCTTTGCTTTGCCCTTATCTCTATACAAACTCCTCAGCCTGACCCATCTTTTCTTGTCTTCTCTCCCAGACCCAGCTCCAGGGATCCTGCACCCCTGCCCTAAGAGGAGAGACCACTCCTGCATTACTGGATCGTGATGTGCCAACTGATATGACTTTTTCCTGCTACGTGCGAATGAGAAAAATGGATTCCTCTGATTCCACCCTCCACCACCCAGCTCACACTAGGCCTGAGGAAAGGTTTGACGCACAATAAATTAAAAGATGAATCACTGAATCAATGGATGTTACAAGGCGCAAAGCGTTTCTGTGCGCCTGCGCGAGAGAAGGCGTGGGAAGCTGTTTGCTACCTGGCTGAGTCTACTGCCTGCCGACTGGAGAGGGAGGGGCTTCCTCAACCTCGCCCTGCCATTGGCCAGAATGGTCCGCATTGGCCTGAAGCCACACCTCTGCGGCCCTGCGGAGCACGATTCCAGCTAGCCAAATCCACCCCCCACCAACTCTTGTCAACTACCCTGGTGTAGGCTAGTGCTTAGAAGTGCTGGGCAGGGAGACTGGCTGCTGGGGACAGTGCACCTGCTGGAACAAAAGACTCGAAGCAGCACTTTGAACTTGCTCTGAATTTTATTAGGATTACCAGGGTTCACAGGGAAAGAGGCAGGGCTTCTGGGGGAGGGGGATAGGAACACCGCAATGGCAAAGCGGCCTTGCATAGACACCGATGCGGGCTAGCGGGCACAGCGGGGAAAGGTGAGGGAAAGAGAGAGACTTGGGACAACAGGGTGGCAGCAGAGCCCCCAAGGCCACAGCAGCCTCCCCCACTTTGAGATCAAGGGTGTCCACTCCATACAGCACGAGGAGGGGGACAGAGGGGCCCTGACCAAGGCATCACAATAAATACATAGCAGCACACAGAAGCCTGCGAGGGAGGGCCAAAGGAAGGGGGAATCCCCCTCCCCCTGCTCCCCAAAAGAAGAACTCTGCAATTACTAAACCATAAAAATAAACTTCAAACCCGTGTACGAAGTTGGTCACCCCCCAGAAGTGCAATGTGGGGCCTCAAGGCCCTAGCTGAAGGGGAGGACAAATGGGGGGGGGGAGAACTACAGAGGCAGCCGCCACAAGGGCAAGGGCTGGACGTTTATTTATCCGATTTTGCCTCTCTTCACTGGGTCCACCCAAGCGTTTTGGACCTGAAGGACTTCCTCCATGTCAGAGTCTTCCCAGTCTTCTTCGATTCCTTCCTCCTCCTCAGTTTCTCCCTCGTCATGGCTGTCTTCACCTCCTGGCAGCACAGGGCAGAGAAGGGGGACCAGAAAATGTAAGAGAGTGGTTAGATGGGCTGTTGGTGGGGAAGGATCACTTGCCAAGCACCTCTGCTTGGAACAAGCAACTGTGGATGAGTGGGAGGCACAGGAAGAATAGGGTGAGCTCTTTGCCTCTATCCAAACAAAGTTCATACATCTCTTAAAGTAGCTTTTTCTCCCACTGTATGTATCAAATGTGTCTTTTCCTGAGCCGTGACCTCAGCTGAATAAACCTATTCATCTGGAGTCAGCTCCTTCTCCATAGTGTGATGGAAACAGGACCCAGTCTGTCTTCTTCAGCCCAATTCCCCACCCCCACTCCCATCCTATGGCTAGACAGATAGCTGTCTTTCCTCCAACAGATGTGTCATCTGGTGGGAGGGGATGGGGCCAGCAATTTCCTCAATTTCCCCAGTCAACCTGAAAATGTCTAGATTGAGTCTACTCACTCATTTAATGCCTCCTTCCTTGGTCCCCTGCCCCCACCCTCAATGGAAGTTTTTGACTGCATGGTCAAAACCCACAGGAGTGGTTGGTCTTTCTCCAGAGGCCCACCTTATGTCCAACAAGCCCTTCCAACTCTGTGTTTCTCCCTGCATCCCATCAATCTCACCACCATTGCCATTCCCCATCCCAGGAAATGGCACCTCCTTTTGCCAGTCATTCAGGCCAGAACTAAACCCAAGAGTCACCTTAAATACCATTTTTTCCTTCAAACATAGCATTTCCCAAAACACATTCTTTGGTGAGCAGTGGCTTCTGTGGCCAAGCTTAAAAAATATTGGGTTCCACAAAGTTTAAATAGGTTTCTTACAGGAGGACTTCTCAGAGCCTTTAAGGTGCTAATGTACAGGTGACTCTACATGAAGATATTACTATACGTAGTATTTCCCCAACATATTTGATCACTAAACCTGTTTGTGAAAAGCAGCTTTCAGAACTGGTGAAGGGTCCTCAGAAGACAATTTTGGAAACTGTGTTCAACATACCATACATTTTCACCCTTCCATGTTCATGTGATCCCTTCCCCCAAGAATGCCCCATAATACTCCTTAAGACAAATGCAGCCTCCAATTCAAATGCCACTTCCTTTCTCTAGTTTTCCCCTTCCTCCTGAAGGTAGAATTAACTGTTCCCTCCTCTGGGTTCACAAAGCATAATGTCCATTTCAGCCTCAGCTCCCCAAACAGAACTGGGAGTTGCCAGAAGGCCAGGGCTGGGTACAAAGTGTACTGAATTGCAATGTGTTTGCTACTTTCCATGCACCCACCCCCACCCCCATATGTGAACCAGTCCTGTTTTCCACCTACTCTCTCCTATCTCTTCCTTCTTTGTCTTTTGCTGTTACCCATCACCTACAACTGAAATGTTTCTTTGATCTTGTTACATTTTTAAGTTAAATGCCCCCTGGCTTTTGTCTTAAAAGTTATACAGAATGCTTTTTTATTTTCTCCACAAGGGCAGATTGTGCTCATGCCTTGATTCCCTGATACTGGCCAGCTTTTCTCTGAGAAAAGACAGGAGGGAAGACAAGAGAGGGATCTAGCTCACCTTCCTCACTACCCTCCTCCTCTTCTTCCTCCACTGATGATTCTTCTTCCAAGAAGGTTTCTACCTCATCGTCATATTCATACAGGTAGCTGCTGTTAACTTGATCCTTCTCAGACTCTTCAATGTCAGTCATATAATCATAAATGCCTCTGTCGTCATCATCACTGCCTTCATTGTCACCTTCATTGCCGTCATCATCACTGCCTTCACTGTCACCTTCATTGCCATCATTATCTTCATCATCACTGGCCTCGTTGTCTCCATCATTGTCACTATCACTGCTGCCCAGGTTGTTGCTGTAGCTGCTACCCTTGGGGCTCTCATCGTCACCATCAGTATTCTCATTGTTGTCATCAGGATTTTTGTCGTCAATGGCAATCTCATTGTTGTCAGTGGTCTCACTGTGGTCTGGGATCTCGCTGTCACAGAGGCTCTCACTGTCACAGAGGCTCTCGATGTCGGTTATCTCACTGATGTCGGTTACCTTGTTCATGTCGGTTATATCGTTGATGTCGGTTATCTCGTTGTCGGAGGTCTCAAAGCAGTCGGTGGTCTCCATGAAGTCAGAGATCTTGATGTCGTGAATGGTCTCATTGTCGGTGATAACATCGCTGTCTGAGGTCTCACCAATTATGTCTTCCATTACTTGATAGTCGTCAAAGTCTTCCATGATCACCACCTCATACTTGTTCCTCTTTTTACTGTGGGAAAGCCTGGGGTTGAATATAAGTTTGGTGAGAGGTGTTGTACCCAAAACAACTACTGAAAGGTAGTAAGTAACTGGGGAGGCAGTAGGTTACAAGGGATCCTAGGGATGAAACTAGGGTGGGAAGAGTCCCATTTCTGCCCCTGACTGTGTAATCTCAGGCCAATCACACCCCATTTGTGGGCATCATTTCCCACTTGTAAAACATATTGGACTGAATTATCTCCAAGGTCCCTTTTGGCTCAATAACTCTTATGCAACATTAACAAATCATCTCTCAGCCTCCAACCCCCCATCACCTTTCTTTCTTTTCTTGTTTCTTTCTTTTGGCCCTGTAGCCGCCTTCACCCATCATGTAGTAGCGCAGAGGGTTAACCCACAGGTCATTCTTGATAATCTGTTGGAAGAGAAGGGGGAAGGGAAAACAGAGCTCTATGAGTATAAGCCCCAGAACCTATTTCCAATTCCCCAGGCACCCAGAGGCAAGCCGAGCAAGTCCTTCTCTGGTACTACCAGGAGGAGCCCACCTCAGCAATCCTGTCGGCCTCTGGGAGGCTGTGATTTGAGAACCAGCTGAAGAAGCTGTGGTTGGTGTCCTGGTTCCTGTGCTTGTGGGCCTGGGGTTCCTGGCCCCGGTGCCAGCGGATTGGGGTAGAGTGAGACACCAGCCGGCCTAGAGGAAAAGGTTATCGAGAGGAGACTGGCCAAGTGTACATGGATTTGCCCTGGGAGTGCCTCTTACCAGATCGGTTGCACTGGAACTCCTTGACAATCACCATGTTTGTGAAATAGGGGTTTGTCTGGAAGTACAGCTTCATTTTGTAGCCCATGGAGATATGTCTGAGATCCTGTACCTGCTCAGGGTGGAGGGTAATGACGGAATCCTCACCTTACCGTGCCCCCCCCAGTCCTCCCTCACCTCTAAGGACCAGATTCCTTGTCCAGTCGTAGTAAAAAAAAATATTTTTGGTCTGACCTGCAGATTGGTCAAGTAGCGGAAAATGTCTTCATCACGTTGGTTGATCAAGATTGAAATTTTGGGGTGGTTGAGGAACTGAGGGAGGGAGCAGTTTAGGTCAAGGAGTGACTATTCATTGAGAGAAGGAGGGAGGGAAGGCCAGGCAGAGCAGGTCAGGGGGTGCAAAACAAAAGAGAAGCTGGAGCAGAATTCCTTTTGTGTTCATTTGATATGTGTGGAGCAAGTGCATCATGGGACCTGACCTGTACTTTTATTTTCATGATGCTATATGGTGAGAGCCTGTGTTTATGCCGTCAAACCTCTGCATCAGGTGGCCTTGCCACAGTGCTTGTTTGTTGTGTATGGGTGCTGAGGGTCTATGTCCATGTGATGTGTCTCTGGATGCCAAGGGCTTGTGCTCACAAGACACTGTAATGTCTGGAAGCTGAAGGTCCATGTCCAAGTAAAGCTATATCTGGTTGTTGAGGGCCTGTAGTCACATAATGTATGTTTGGGTGTTATGGGTCTTTGTCCACATGATATTATGTGTCTGGATCTGAGGGTTTATGTCTCAATGACACTGGGTACTGAGGGTCTGTGATCATGTATACTTTGCATGAGGGTGCCAAGGATCTGTATCTATGTAATTCTGATAGGATGTTAAACCTATGTGTTCCTAACATGTTGTATGTCTGTATGTGTCCCTGAGATGAGCTGAGTAGTGACTGGGATTTTCTTATTCTCCCCTTTCCTTCATTTAACTCCTTGATCTCCATTCCTAGGTACTCCTCTGACCCTTCAGGGATTCCGGCAACTTTTTAGCCCCCTTTTCTCCAGCCAGGGTTGAGGTCTCCCTACTATCTAGGGAGATACCTAGGATTTGCAGAGCCATGTGTGAGTTAAGCACCCATTCTGGGCAATTTCTCTGCTATGGTGCCCTTCCCCTCCCTCTTCACTGTCTCTGAGTCAGTTTATCTTCTGCGTGCCCCTCCCCCATCCTTTTATCATCTTTGATCCAATTTTTCTGCTGTATGCCCTTCTACTACCCTCCCCCTTTCACTGCTTATGATGCATTTTTAAAATATTATGTTCTTCCTTCTTCCCCTTTCCCATCCCTAATCCAGTTTTTATGTTGTATGTCCCTCCCCCTTCACTATCTCTAGTCCAGCTTCTCTGATGTTTTTTCCCCCCTCCTTCCATCCCTCCTCCACCAAACCTAGTCATTCTTTCAACAGGGACCAGTCCCCACACCTTTTCACTCTGTCCCTGTCCCCACATCCCCCCTTTCTGTCCTGGGCTCCTGACCCATGAGTATAGATGACAAGGATACTGCTTTGACCCAGAAGCCTGGGATATGCTGGATGATAAGGTCTCTGCGTTCCAGGAAGGGTCTCCGCATCTGGATGAACTTGCGCTTGAGACGGAGGAAGGCCTTGCCTGCCTTGATGTTCACCGCCTCCAGGTCCAGCTGAATGTTTTCCAGTGCCTGCAGGATGTACTCTATCTTCTCGGCGTTTATCTCTTCCTTTTCCTTCTTCACCTTCCTGTGCTTCCTCTTCCTCCTCCTCCTCTTCCTCACACTTTCCTTTTCATCCTCCTCATCATCTTCCACTATGATGATGGTCTCTTCCTTCCCCTGTAGACCGGCTAACATCTGGTACCCCCGCCCCCCTATGCTACAGGTTTCTAGGGCCTTTTCTCCATCAAAGCTGCCGGGCTCCGAAACCTGAATGTCGATTTCCAGGCTTCCCCCAGAAACCTCCGAAGGAGAGAGAGTTTCCAGGCTCTCCGTGGGAGGGGGCGCCCCCCCATACCCAGACTCTATCTCAGGATCCCAGCAGGAACACCCAGCACCCAGGGTGAAGTATGCGCGAACTCCCCCCTCCTCCAGAATGACATAGGGCGGCGGCGGGGGCAGAGTGGGGCCCAGTCCCACCCCCCTCATGTCAGCCAGCACCTGTGCCGCCTCAGTTTCCTCCCGGAGCCTCGGGCGCTGCTCTGGTGGAGGCAGGGGCAGTCGCAGGAGTGGAGGTGGTGGCGGTGGCGGCGGCGGCGGCGGCGGCGGAGGCACGTCGTCCTGAGGGGGCTCTGAACTGCTCAGGCGGCGGGCCTTGGCTGGAGGCCCCTCATCCGGACGGTCCATGGTGACCGCTCTCACACCGCAAGAAGAACCGCGCTCGCCCCTTCTCTCAGCCAGGCCGCTGCTGTCCGTCACACCTGAAGCGGAGCCACCGCGCCTCACGCGACCAGCTCAGCTCACAGCCTCGCTCTGGCGCTCCCTCCCACAGCGCCTGCCCTATTCCCTCCGCGCCAAGCGCCCAGGCCCCGCCCCTCTCTGGCGTAAGATACCCGTATGCCTCGCCATTGGCTGTTGGCTGCAGAGGCGGCACTCACGCTCCCCAGACTACTGCGCGCTCTCCCCGCAACCTGCTGGGTGACACCCCACCTCATCACTTTCCCATTGGCTCGCCTTGGCCCGCCAATCATCGGGCTGAATCCCGTCCCCCCGCCCGCCCCCAGCGACCACAGGGAAACTGCGGGGCAATTGGCTGTGAGAAAAACCAAGGGGAAGAAGCCCTTCTTCCTCACCTTTCAACGTTTTATCCAATGGGAAAAGTACCAGTGGTTCTTTTTTTTTTTTTTTTATTGAATTAGAGGGTAGAGAGAGGATAAATGGGGATGTAAGGAGACTTGGCTTGGGGTGGTGAACACACAATACAATATACAGATAATGTATTATAGAGTTGTACCCCTAAAACCTATGTAGTTTTATTAACCAATGTTACCAGTGGTTCTTAGGACCGAAAAAAAAACCCAAAACAAAACAAAACAAAAAACCGAACGCAGGCGCTGAGCACGACGTGTTCAAATCAAATTGGAGAGCTTAGCTGTCGTTCATCCCCCCTCCCCTCCCCTCCTTTCCATTTCCCTTAGGCAACTACGCACTTTAAAAATCTACCCCCGCCCCAGTCCCGGGCTTTTTGCCCCGCAGCAAACTGATGAGGCTCCTGGGGGCTCAAGGTGTTCTAAATGAGCCTGGACTTTAGAAACCTAGGGCCTTTGGTTTAGGGTCAGGTTTTGACGTGGCATTTTCCATCTCTGCAAAATGGCTCTAGAAATAATAATCAAGAAAAAAAAGTAACTCCCTATGCGTCATTAAAATGATGTGATTCAGTTCATTATACTAGGTTTTTCTAGGACTTTCTCTGTCTTCATCTACTCAATACTTCTTCTTCTCCTTTCTCCTCTCCCTGTCCCCAGTCTATACTGTTCTTAACTGTATTTCAAAAATTATTTTGGCCAGATGGACAGTCTCGGTGGCCATGTGGTGGTGTTCTGGCTTTGGTAGGGATTTAAATCATGGGTCTCTTCCTTACTTTATAATTCATACTCTCTCTGAGCTTCAGTTTCACCTCCTCTGGATGAAGCGTTCTTAAAGAGAAGCGTAGGAAAACTGCCCATTGTAGCCTTGTTGTAGCAGAGAACTGGAGGCAACCTAGAGACCCGGCACCAGGGGATGGATAAGGAAAATGTGATATATGTGTATAAGATGGACCACTAGAATGAATTTAATCTACGTACGGCAACATGGCTGGATCTCTCAAAAACAGAATGTTGAGTGAAAAAAGAAACAGAACAAGATTTATAGTACAATACCATTTATGTAAATTAAAACACATAACAATACCATATATTTTTCACAGATACACATATATGTAAATAAACACATGAATGGTAGATTGGAAGGATGTATGTTAAATACAGGAGAGTGGGTGCCTGTGTTGGAGGGGGGAATGGGGTCAGGAATGGGTAATGAAGGGGACAAAACAAAACAAAATAATAAATAAAAGGGCTTCACATGATCAGTGATGATATAGTGTGCCAAGAACTGAGGAGTATAGTCAACTCAATTCTGTGCACCTCTGAGAGAATAAGTAAATAAATAATAAAGTAATCGAGTGTCCAGGCAACAGGCTGGCTGGGTAGACTCCCAGGCTTGGGTTCCCTCCTCCTGTGACATCCCTCCCTCTGAATTTAGCCAAAGTTTACCAAAGTCTCAGCTGTATCAAGTAGACCCTTCAAAAGATCTCCCATCCCTGACTGAGCAGTCCCTCTCTCTAGAAGCCATTACTTTGTCGGGGTCACTCCCTAAGTCTATCAGTTCTCCCCAAGTTGGATTCCTAATTCCCAATCCCCATTCTCTATGGTGGTCCAGTTTCAGAAACACCTTGTTTGGGTTTTGGAAAGGAGATTGATTCAGGAGTTCAAAGTGGTACCTGGCGGCTCCAGGCTTTGGGAAGAAATGGGGTTCTCAAGTATTCTATCTGCCATGTTCAGAGTCTGGACCAAGGGAGGAAGATACGATGAGATGGGAGTCTCCCTCTTGCTACATACATGCATACGGTTTTCAAGTTCCATCTCTCCAACCACTCTACTTTCACTGCAGGCACATACTATAGCTTGTCTCCTCTCAATTAGGCGCATACATGTATGCGTGTACATGCCATGTCTCCACACACAGGCATTTACTCACATGTGTGTACCAAGCAGGGGTGCCTCCCCACACAAAGTCACACAGACACACTGTCACACTCCATCATACCTCTCCACATGTGGTCATGCAGACAGGACACACAGACACACAGACCACACAGACAGACACACACACATACACACAGTCAGAAAGAGAAAACATCCAATATAGCATTGTTCATTTCAGTTTTCCATTTACAAAATCCAATGGTGAATCCAGGCAGTTAGAAAAAAGAAATGGAGGAAAACCCTCCTGAATGCACCCTATCTACCCCCACCCCTGTGGTCCCCCCACCCCACCCCCTGGAAAAGGCACCCCCATCACTATCACTGAGAGAACAGGTAACCCCCCCCACCCCAGCCTCTCAGCCACTCTGGCCTGCCTTTCCAGGGCAACTCCATAGCCAGGCTCATTAATGTCTCTCCTGCCTAGAGTGCCCTCCCCATTTTCCTGGGGGTCAAGGCTTCCCCACTTCTGGGGCCATGTTAGGGTAGGGCGGAAACTTAGGACAAGGGTTTCAATAGGCAAGGGAAAGGCTAAATATAGATCTCCCCCTCCCCCAGGGAATGAGAAGGGGATAGAGAACCTGGGCAAGACCAGGCAAAAGGAGTGCCAGCTTGGATCCCCAGTCCACAAAAACTGGCCTTGGTGTGATCCCAGAGTGGAAGCTTGGGAATCACCCACCTGGGGAATCTGAATATGGTCTGTTCCACTTTGGGAGGAGGGATTGGTGAAGGGAAGGAAGTGGAAGTTGGGAGCTGAGGGCCCAGAAGACCAAGGGTTACCACGGAGGGGCTTGAGGCCCCTGAGGCTTAAGGAGGACAAAAAGAGGTCAGATAGAAATGGACTCAAATCCACAGTACCTTGGAGCTTATTCCCTATGAGATGCCAAGGCCCCAGAAGAATTTTCATCTTTGGGAGTGCAGCGTGAACTCAGGAGACAATTCTGGGTTTGAATTCCATGCTGACGCCATGCTCTGGGACCCAGCTACTCTGGGGAGTTCGACGATCTCTCTACACTTCCCTGGGGCTGCTCCTGCCTGTATGGTACCCACATCAGCCCTAGTAGGGCTAGAGTGGATTTCCGTCCTCAGAAAGAAGAGTTGGGGCCTGGGGATCCAGGAGGCAACTTGAGAGAACATAGCTAAGCCCCTATCTTCAGCTCCTGGTGTGCAGCTCACATCCTGCTCTTCACTTAGCCTGGGCCCAATCTTGGGGGCCCTTCTCCCCCGCTCATGGCTTCTCAAACAGATGCTCAAGAAACACTTGGGATGTCTGGACAGAGTGGGAAGCAAGAGGAGACTGGGCTTGGGACCATGGTTAGCCTAAAACAACATTGCACACAACATAGCAATTAAACATCCCTGCTCCCTGGGGACCCTGCACCTGCTTTGGTCCCTCTTGCCAACAGATCAATTTCTCCCTAAATATCCAGGCCTTGCTAAAGGACTTGGAAGGGGAGGGTGCATGGGAGCAGAGGGGGCCAGAAGAGATCTGGAAGTCTATTTTACAGGATAAATTTCCCCATTCTGGACAATGTCAGAAGGAGAGACATTAAAGCAAGAAAGCCTGACTCCTCAGCTGTTAGTAGAAAAACCTGCATTTTCAGTTTGTTTTCTTTTTCTGAATTGGAGGGAGAAAGAGAAAGAGAGAGAGAGAGAGAGAGAGAGAGAGAGAGAGAGATTGATTTTGATTGATTGTAGAAGTGGAAAAAGAGGCAGCAGAGACAGGCCCTAGAACTAGAAACACCCCTTCCCAAGTGCCCCCCCAGCTGGGGAGGTGTTGGCAAAGGTGCTAGATTCTGGGTGGTTTGAGGGGCTGGAGCTGGAGCTCAGAAAGAAAGGCTCCTGTATGGGCCCCTACCCCTCCCTTTCTGTTGGCCCCATCATGGTGGCCATGACCTACTCCCTGTCTGTCTGCCTACCAGCCTGCTTCACATGACACAGTAGGGTTCTCTGGGAGCTGGGGCACCTCCTGTGCCCCAGCAGGGGGCGTGAGTCCTCAGGCACTTCTTGAGGTCCTTGTTGAGCAGGAAGCAGACGATCGGGTTGACAGCAGCCTGGGCGAAGCTCATCCAAACAGCGGTGGCCAGGTAACGGTGGGGCACAGCGCAGGCTTTAACAAACACTCGCCAGTAGCAGGCCACGATGTAAGGTGACCAGAGGAGCAGGAAGAGCAGTGTGATCGCGTAGAACATGCGGCCCAGCTGCTTTTCACCCTTGACCTCGTCCATGCCCAGCAGCCGCCGGCTGGCTGCATGCCCATTCTGCCGTATACCTAGCAGGGTTGGTGGCATGGGCCCACGGCCAAAGCCAGCGATCCAGTTGGCAGCAGCCTGGCCAGTGGCCCCAGGACCATGGAATGTCCAGTTCTGGCTGATGGCTGGCACCATCTGCACTGGCTTCATCTTGCGGTGACGATACTCAAAGAGGAGCAGTTTGCCATAGACAGCATGTGTAGCTGCCATGAGCACAGCCAACATAAGCATGAAACCTAGTGTGTCATTGGCCTTGAAGTAGCGATGCTCAAAGATGCACTGGTCCTCCTCGCGGATAAACTTGTAGGTGCCAACATCAAAGACGGGCGGGAAGGCCATGGCCACAGATAGGGTCCAGGCCATGCAGATCACGGCTGCACATGTCCAGAGTGTCATGCGTTTGGCGTAGAAGCGGTGGTGGGCGATGGCCATGTAGCGGGTGACGCTGATGCAGAACAGCATGAAGGCCGCATGGAAGCAAAACAGCACAGCCATAAAGGCCACAATCTTGCAGCTGAGTGCACTGAAAGTCCATGAGGAGCCATGGCGCACAGAAGCCAGTACAAAGGGGAAGCAGACGGCAGAGCGGATGCCGTCGGCCAGGCACAGGTCCAGCAGAAAGTAGTAAGGAGCCTTGTGCAGGGCACGCTCCTTGAGCACCAGCAGCGACAAGATGGCGTTGCCCGCCAGGCTCACGCACATGATCAGTCCCAACAGCACCAGCTTTACATAAGCTGATGCTGATGGCGGAGACAGTGCGCCGCTCACCTCCTCGGGCTCTCCAGTGGTATTGGCCATAATGAGGGGCAGAGGCTGCTCCCAACCCTGTGGAGTCAGCCAGTCCGGTACTGGATGGGGGACTCCATCAGTTGTCCTGCTGGGCCGCACCTGCAAATAGGGGTAGTGGAGGAGACACAGACATAGAGACAGAGAGATGAGGGCAAGAGAGAGGCAGAAAGAAAAAACACACAGAGGCACAGAGACAAAGCGAGAAAGGATAGAGCAAAGAGATAGCAAATGGTGACAGAGATAGAAATGGATAAAAAAAAATTGAGACAGCAATGGAGGGGATGGAAAAGGGTAGGAAGAGATAAAGAGACAGAACCGGAGAGACAAGGACAGGGGAAAAAGAAGGAGAGAGAGGGGGACAGTAGAAGGAGAGGGACAGGGAGATACGAGAGACGAGGAGGGAGAGAAGGAAGGAGAGAAAGGGAAACAAGAAAAAGACAGGGAGAAACAGATGGAAAATTTAAAAAGTGAGGAAGAAACAGAGAAGGCAGTGTTAGTGTGACCGTGAAGCCCACTGTCCCCCGTGCCCCCTGCTTACTCCCTGCCTGGTCTCAGGCCCTGCCCGTGGCCAACTGCTGCTTCTACTCTCTCCTCACTGAGTGAGTGCACGTCGTATCTCTAGACGTCTTTGGTTACCCGTTTCCTCCATTGGCGGATCTGTGGGGGAGAGATGCTTGTGTGGCTCTTTTCTTTCCCTTTGTGTGAAGTCCTAAGGTTGGGCTCTTCAAACTTTTCTGACCACCACCCATCATAAGAGTTTACATCACAACCTCGTACACATACACACACAGGCAACACTGATGAGTCAAAGGTTTCAAAGACTAGTACTGAGTCTATGTCTAATACTCCCATTAGTTTCTACTCTATTTCATGTTATTTTCTCCATGCTGGTAGCCACTCATGAAATAATTTTTTTTTTACTCCTGATCAGGAATGTGTTTAGCCTGCTCAAGGAACAGCGGGAAAACCAGTGTGGTTGGAAGTGGGCAGGTGAGGGGGACTGTGGTAGAAGGTAAGGTCACAGAGATGTCCAGGGCCAGGTCCTCTAGGGCTGTGGGCTATGACAACGACTTTGGTTTTTTATTTTAAGTGAGGTGGAGAGTGTATGGATATAAAGATGTAGGTATGCTTGTGCGCACTCATTCATTGACAAACCATTTACTGAATATCTACTGTGCCAGGCACTGGGGATACAGCTGTGAACCAGACAAAGATCCCTGCCCCCGTGGAGCTGACAGTCTAGATAATAAAGACAATACATATGAAGTGATGTATGGTAGGTCAGATGATGATAAGTTTCTAAAAATAAAAAAAGGGGGAAAGGGGGATAGGAAGTTAAGGGTGGGGAGATGCAATTTTAGATGAGGTGGACAAGGAAGGCTTCACGGAGTCATCATCTGAGCAAAGACCTGAAGGAGGTGAGTTAGTCGTGTGGGTACCTAGCAGAGAAGTCCAAGCGGGAGGAACAGTCAGAGCAAAGGCCCTGAGGCAGGACCTGACATGGTACCTTTGAAGAAGTGCAAGGAGGCCACAGTGGGTAGAACAGAGTGAGAGAAAAGTGGTGGGAGGTGAGGTCAGAAAGTGTCAAGGGTCAGATCTCATAGGCCATGGTAAGGATTCTCCCTTTTACACTGAGTGAGACGGGAGCCATGGGAGGGGTTGCGAGCAGAGGCGAGATGTGATATAACTCAGGACTGAATAGGATCCCACTTGCTGCTGTGAGGAGTACAGACCTTGGGAGCAAATGTGGAAATGGGGAGACTACTCAGGAGGTTCCTGCAGTAATCCAGGTGAGAAATAATAGCACATCCATGCCCTTTGCCCTGCTTCATTTCTTTTCCTAGAACTTATCTCCTTTAACTCACTGTATTAATTTACTTTTAAATTTTGCTCTATTGCTTGCCTCTTCCTGTGAGAACAAAAGCTTCATAGGGCAGGGCTTACAGACTCACGCAGTCTCCTGTAGAAGAGCTCCGCGTAGCACATGGCAGGCCCTCGGTCCAGAGCTGTTAACCAATTGATTGGGACTAAATAGGCTGGTGGCTCAGGGAGGGCTGCCTGGAGGCATCCAGGAAGGATTTGTTGAAAGAGCAGCCCGGGCAGTGCATGAGTGGGAGGGCACAGGCAACACTTGGCAGGGAACGGGAAGAATCCTGGTGTGTGTGGGCTGGGGGAGAGGGTGTGAGGCGTGATAAGGTAACAGGGCAGGTACCAGAGGAAAGGTGGTCTTGCAGAAGCTGGAGAAGATCTGAACTGCTGTTGGGGCTGGGATGGACTTGAGGTCGGGGGAGGCAGGGCTTGAATGGGTATCTTTCTAGCTGCCTCTGTCCCAGGAAAAAGTCTCCTGTCTGCACTGTTTTGCAACTCAATGCAGCCTGCCCTGCCACAGCCACCTGGGGCCAGGCCTTTTGGACGGTGCCCTGAAGTCTCAGAGCCAGTGCCAGGGGCCACGTGAACGTGTTGGGACAGGGGCTCCGGAGAAGTGGGGCTGAAAAGCCCCTTTCAGCTGGCCCTGAAGGTCTGACAGCTCACACAGAACTGTGGACCAGCCCACAGACAGCTGGCTATGTGTAAATGTGCACACACACACACTCTCTCTCTTTAGCCTTGAGACGAAACAGGGGTGAGAGTTAGAGACAGAGGGAAAGTGAATGTAAGAGAGAGTCAAAGAGACACATAGAGTAACAGAGAAGAGAAAGAGACAGGACCAGAGAGACAGAGACAAACAGAAATTGAGCGGGGGAGGGAGGTGAACAGAGACATACAAAAGGGAGACAGCCTTACAGACAAAGAAAGAGATGGAAATGGACAGAAAAGGGAAGAAGAGAAAAAGAGAGAGAGAGAAAACAGACACACAGAGAGAAACTGAGAGAGTGGGAGAGACAGAGAAGGGAGAGAAAAAGATAGAGACAGAGAGAGGGAGACAGGAGGAGATATAGATAGGTAGATATTGAAGTAGATAGATTGAAGGGAAGGAATAATACCAGGAAGGAGAGAAAGACTTAGAGAAATAGAGATGGAGGTGGGGATGGAGATAGAGGCAGAGAGAGGGAGAAATAGATAAAGACAGAAAGAGGGAGACAGAGAGACACACTAAGACCAAGAAGGTGGATAGTGCGTAGCCCACAGTCCGGGTGAAAACAAAAACAAATGCAGCAAACGAAACCCTGGTATTGCCTGGAAAGCTGGGGCACTTGTACAAACAATGGAGGAGGGTTCTTCTGAACACAGACTGGCAGCACAGCCTGGGTCCCAGATGCCTTAGACACAGACACCTACACACTCACAGCCTACAGCAACGGCACCGGTGGAGCGCAACCAGCTCACACACAGGGACACTGTGTGGAGTGTGAGTGACATGCCTGCACATGCACGCACACGAAAGGTATACCACATACCCTGCCTAACTGCCAGTGCTTCGTCCTCAATAAAGGCATTACTGCCCCCTACGGGACATTTTGGAAATTGGTAGGTGCATTTTTGGTTGTCACATAGCTGGAGTACAGGGTGTCTTTCTAACATTTAAGGGCCCAGGGTGAGGATACTGGCGATCCAGTGATGTGCGGGGCAGTCCCACACAGCCAACATGTCCCGCATTCCCTAGGACTTCGGACTTGTAATGAATAACCTAAAATCTACCTCTGTTTCATAGATAAACACAATTTCCCTCCTGCTTTTCATGTACAGTAGGTCCTTGATAACATTTTATTCAATGTCGTTTGGTTATAACTTTGATGAGATACCATAGGAACTTAACTTGTTTGTATCAATTAGCCTATGGTAAAGCTGGTTTCGTTATACATCGTTTTGCTGCAGTTTCAAGAACCTATTGACGACATGAAGTGAGGACTTACTGTACCCCGAATTATACAGGAATGTGGCTGTTAAGTCCACAGGAGTCTTTGCTTTGTTTTGTGGCACACTTTCCTTGAGCTGTTCACTATTTCAGAAAAATCTCAGCCCTGGACCTTTCTGCACTTCCTGCATGGGGGCTGCTTCTGATTTTCCCCTTCTCCTTAGCCCGTGTGTACTCATTGTGTTACACGGCTCCAGAGACTTCACTGAACCTCCTGGGGAGTGTCATGACCAAACATTTATGTTTGAAATACAAGTTATTTTCTTCTAAATCACTTGCATTTTATTTTTTATTTCTTTGTAAGAGTGACTACAATGTGGCTATTGTGTAAAATACTATGTGGATTTTCTTTTGAAATTATATGTGCAGAGAGCTTATATTATTTAAGATCTTTGTGTCCAGATAGTAAGGGGGCATTACAAAATCCATTCCATGAAAGAGGGTCTTAGGTATGCGAGGGCTGAGAATTACATACACAGACAGGCAGATACACTCACACATATACATGTACAATAGTTCATAAACCCACAATTATAACACCCTAACACACACTTGTGAACTCTCAAATCCTGATAGATTCACACCTGCAAACCTACTCACTGTTACTTACACATAGACTCATATCCCCTTTGTGTCATTATACCTGATTTAGATCCTCTCACATATTCAGATGAGCTCTTGCAATACATGTATATAAACAGTGGCATACCTATAGCATCACTTATACAAACACTGTTAAATACATTAACATTCAGATTCAAAGTCACTTAAATAGGCCAGCATGCTCACACGTACTTGAACTTTGCTATAGACATATACACAAACACAGAGAAAGACTGCCCATGTATACAGACACTCACAGATGTGTTGACACAAACTTGTTCACAACACATAGATACGCTTACATGATATATACATCCTGCAATAGGTATACACCAAGAGACAGCCCTGTGTATGTGTAGAGACCAGCCAAAGCCTGCACACACAGGTGGAAAACATTAGCAGAGCTGCCCAGCTGGTGGGCACCTGCCACAGCAGGAGGCTAGAGAAAGATGGGGCTCTAGGGGGGCTGTGTGAAAAGAGAGGTTGTAAATATTTGGGTCTCTTCCTGTTGAAACATCCCAGATTGTTTTCTGATTATTCTTTTGATTGCCACTCATTCATCATCAGTGAGGGTTTTTTTTTTTCCTTATAAGTGTATGATGTTTGTTTTTCTTTTAATTTGATCTCATTCTTATTTTCC